AACATAGGACTTCAAAAATATAAATTGGTGGAAGTAGTAATAACTGTAGATTTTTGAAGTGGATTCTGCACGTTGATCTATAACTGGAATTTGTAATTATCCTCAAAGCCGTCGTTTGTACAACGAGAATTTTGATAGATGCTACTGACTTTCCCATATAAACAGGGGTATGATAAAAATTTAAAAGAAAATGTTTTTCTTTCCAACAGAAAATCGTAGCTCCGTCTTGATTTTAAATATGTACAATATAGAATGTTTTTCGAATACCATAGCACATTAATCCGATTGCTCACAAATACAAATTGTTCGAATTTGTTTGGAAGGAAAAAACCGTAATTTTCTGATTTTCACATAAAAATAACATCCAGCTTTCAAGGAGGTTGGTGGTTCATATTGGTGAGGTCAATTCGAGTGCATTGCTATGAGGTGTCCTTTGAACCAATCTTGTATATTATTCCATAAACTGGTAATGGTAACTACCCCCGCTCCACTAAGGCAGTTTGGGATGCTGATTTCAAAAGTGGCCACCAGAAGATGCTAAAATATCGCGAACCTTATTATTTGGAGTACAAAAATAGCCATGTTGCGGCTTCCACTTTGTTCACTAATGATTATCGATCAAAATAATTGAAAAACGATATAAACTATTTCAGTGACCCTTCCTTCATAAGTGTGAGATCTGACACTTTTGATAGTATATAGTTTTAGTTCATCGACCGAGTGACCAAGCCTAGACCATGCTGATGAGTAGCCAAAAAGGACGAAACAGCTGTCCATGGTTGGCTATCTTTACTCGGACAGACGAAATCAACATTTTAGTTCCTTCATATTTATATTTTCCATATTACTGCATCCTCCCTATTTCCACATGATCCTCGTCTTCGGGAACGCGACCCCTTTTCGGCTCTCCCGCAGTTCCGCCAGCGATTTCGGATGCAATTCGGTCCGGCCGAGTGTGTATGCACCACTGCGCCTCCATTATGCCAATAATGTCCGGTATACGGTCCGGGATATGGTCCGCTGTATGGTCCGGTGGCGAAACATGAATATATTATGAGCCCGTGCGGCACCCACCACGCGCGTTGGTCGATGGCGCATACTATTATTTTAGCCGAGTTTGCACCACCGGCCTTTTTTTTAATATGCAACTTGATATACCCTGCTATTGACGATTTAATTTCTATTTTACTGACGGAAAACATTTCGTTTCCACATATCAGAGAACGTAGAACATCATTTTCTGTTTGTCTTCACTACTAGACCTGTACCGTACTGATTATTGCTTTGCTAAAAAGCATATGACAAGGTTTTATGTCGTTGGCTTTTGTTACAGATACGGAAAGTACACAGATCCAGTTCAGTCTATTTTTATGTATGCAACTTTGAATTGCGAACAGAGGGTAATAATAATAACTTTTTATTCATGCCAGTCTCGCGGATATGAAACGTCAAAATACATTGAATACAATGATACTAAGTTACGACAAAATCGACAAAAAGTCATTAACAGGATAATAGCATTTTTCTACCAGAAATGCTTGCACACGTTTAAAATTATAAACAAATTGCCCATTTTATCCCCACGATATAGTCACATTATCAAACTAACAATAGGGCCAAACATAAATACCCTCATTAACTGCAAATCACACACTTTTATATTGTAACCAGTCCAAACTAAATACAATGCAGTCCTTTCGTCTAAATACGCCTTTTCGAATAAGCCATGGTCACTTATGCTACACCAAGATCGTAAGACACATTTAAATGGAGTTGCATTAAACGCAATTCCTAAATAATATAAGCATTCGTAATATCTTAATTGCTTCCCTTGGAATGCAGGAATTATGATCTCTCGATTCTGTAATTGGAGCGAAAAAATATAATAACAGTACCTCTTAGGCTTTCAGGAACCATCGATAACGTAAAGATTCATTATCTTTTTGTAACTATCCTAAACTTTAAAAGGTGGAACTGGCGGTTCGTGATCCGGACTTATTTTCATTTCTACTAGTGTCGAGTAGATGCATTCCAGGTATTTATGTTTCGATAATTTTGGTTCAAGTGTGACGATGTATCGAGAGTAGTTGAGACTTATTTTATAATTTATGCCTTTTCTAAATTTACTTACTTTATTCTGAGCAGTTTTGTTACTAATATCATGATCTAAATCTCCGATCGCCTTTTATCATCTTAGTTGAAGATAAAAATATATGGCTTTGTGAGTGTGTTCTATATGAATTAACGTCGAGGTTGATAGTTTTAAGTAATCATGAATTTAATTCACGCCAGGGTTTAATTTCATTGTTTATCGAGTAAAATAACAGAAATCAAACCATGCCTTCGATATATCCTTGCAAGTGCTTACTCCTTTTTATAAGAGTACTTATTTGACTGCTCCCTCTCTCTCGACATAAGTATCATTACGGGTTTATCTTATCGTGCAACAGAATCTTGCAATATGTTGTACAAACGATAAGAAAGTTAGTTTTAGACCTTCCAATAAATAGGAAAATGAAAATCCTAAAGTCCCCTATTACATTATGTATATACTCATACATTTTTCTAAATATGTACACATTGCAGTCACACAAATGGAAAAACGTGTTCTGAATTCTGCTTCAATGAGGAACAGGCACCCGGTATTTAGGGTAGTGGTAGTGACAAGGATATACCTGTATGTTCATCTGCATAATTTTTAATCTGTATCTAAGTCTAATATCCTCCTGGGTCGCGTCTATATTTATGCCTTCCCAGATCAAACCAACCATATTTTGTCTTGTTCATCTTACAATAATTTTACGATCATACTTTCCAATTTTACGCTGAAAAGAAACTGGATAAAGAAACAAGAACGAACATAAAGTGATCCATTCAATTCTAAGCTCTATGGCATATGCGTTCATTCAACATCACCGTGAGGTCGTTCCATTCAACCGAAGATCTGCTTAGCACATCAGCGGAATCTCCCGAGATCCCGCATTGCACACCAGCAGAGATTCAAGGTCATATCAAAGACCTTAAAGTGCGTAAAGCACCTGGGGAGGATAAAATCACTAATAAGGCGCTGAAGCTGCTTTCGCGGAAGTCCTTAACTTATCTCGTGGCAATAGTCAATGCCATGCTAAGGACCCAGTAACTTCCCATCTGCGTGGAAGACCGCTGAAGTTATTATGATTCCAAAGAAGGTGGGTTCGATATTTCCACAGGATTATCGTCCCATTAGCCTACTGTCAGCTCTGTCTAAGCTCGCTGAAAGCGTGAACCATATGATTCCTGACGTGCAATTCAGTTTTCGGTGTCTGAACATAGTATGGAGCTACAGGCAGTTAGCCTGGTGGAACAAGTAACCTGAGGATTCACCCTTAACGGAAGTACTGGCATCTTGCTTTTGGATGTCTCAAAAGCATTTGCCAAGGCGTGTCACGCGGGCCTCCTGTATAAACTAATCCAAAAGGGCGTCCCTTTTTGGCTTCTAAAACTACTGAAATCCTTCTTTGAAGGTAGGAAATTTCGGATCAAAATTGACAATGTCCTGTCTACAACACGGCTGATTACAGCCGGAGTCCCTCAGGGTTCGGTCCTTGGACCTGTCCTTTACCCACTGTACATCTATGACGTCTCTAGCCCCAGCAACTTTGAAGTCTATCTATATGCTCACAATAGTGCATTGGTGGCTCAGTCGTGAACTAGTCCATGACAGGCTGCAAAGTGTAGTGGAGGAAGTATCAGATTGGGCGGATCGGTGGCTAATTAAAATGAACCATTCGAAAACGCAGGCAATCTACTGTACAAAAAGACGTCGCGGCGTTCCGTCTTAAGTTTCAATGAATGGACTTCGTATACCATGGGAATCCTCCGCTAAGTATCTCGGAGTCATTCTGGACAAAGGGACGACTTGGCGGAACCATATAGAAGCGCTAAAAACTAAATTCCAAATTATGTTTTGACAGATTTACCCATTATTATGTAAACGTTCAAAATTAAGTTTGATCAACATGATTCGACTTTATAAGGTGGCCATAAGGCCAGCAGTGACTTACGAATGTGCGGCTTGGTGTTTGTGCACTATTACTGCCACCCCATGGTATGTCTCTAACGAAACTCTACATAGAGACCTCGATATCTCTTACCTAAAGGACTACATTAACCAACAGGCGCAGCGGCGCTATAGCCTAGCGGAATCGCACAGCAACTCTCTGTTGCGTAATTCAGTGGACTACACAGTCGAGCAAGTTCGCAAGCACAAAAGACCGCGGCTCGCACTGTAGTCAAAATTAATTCGTGAACTTAGAACAACCAAAATTGGAGCAAAATCGAATATATTTAGACCATATCAAAATCTGTGAAGTGATTTGAACAATGCCTGAATGCTGCCTATCCTAAAAGATTCTCTTCTTCGCCTTTGCTCTCGTTCTTCCTTCTCTCCTTTCCTTCCCTTTTTCCTTAAAATTGTCTGGTTTCTGGGTTACCAGACCTGACAGACTTACAAACCGACACTGTGACTTAAGAGCTAAGGTCGCTTGGACCGCTCTGACAACCAACGATGACTTGACTTGACGTCGTTCCAATTTGAAACTCTTGACAGCGTATGTGTCTAAGGCCAGTATCGTCAGTCGACCCTGCAATTGTAGGGCGCGTTTATAGCCTCCTTGATTGTCATACTACTTTCTCTCCTTCAAAAATTTCTAGATTACACTTGTCCCGTGTCAGCGTCAGCGCTTTGCTAATGTGAAGATTTGTTTTCCTTTTAAATTGTAGGAAATTTCAGGCTGATAAAACATGATATAACTCAAAACCAAGCACAATTTGATGCAAATTGACGTTTGTGACATAACCTCAAAATAGAGCGCTGACACGGAGAAGTAGAAAACTATGACAATCAAGGAGGCCATAAAGGCGCCCTACAATTGTAGGGACGACTGACGATACGGGCCTAAATCAAGGCAATGTGTATAATGCAGAAAACAAACTTACTGAAATCATCCCTTCTGTTCCAGATGCACCTCCAGTATTGCTGTATAGTTTCATTGAGCAAACGTTACAGCCTGGTCCAGCGGTTTCACTTAAGTGCAGTGCTTCAGGAAATCCAACACCACAAATCTCGTGGACACTGGACGGATTTCCTTTACCTAGTCATGGAAGGTAAGCCTTGATTTTCTTATTTTAGTCTAATTGTATAGTTTAAATGTTACTAAATATGGGTAATATCATGCAGAGCTGCCTGAAATTGAGACAACAATGTGAACTTTTTGGAGCCCAACTATTGAAAACCAATCGGTTCGTGGTCTTGTTGATTTTTTTTCATATGTTTGGTTATGTCAAAATTGAGAGCTAGGTCATGTAAAAAATGACATTCCAACGGTGCTATTTATTAATCTTCAAGTTTCTGGATCTACATTGTTCTACTTTTTTGAGATTTTGTACTTCTGATAGATACCATAGTGGAGAGGTATCTATAATCTATATAAGACTCCTACGAACTAGCTGAAGTGAAGAACTCTTGCACTTTCTATTACTATTCTATTTATCTGACTAGGTGGATATAGGTATGCGTTACATAAACCTCCAGGAAAACAATCCAAAATTAACAGACAACCCTCTTCGCTAACGTGAGAGTTTATGGCGTGAAGATCGATATCGAGATAAACATTTATTAGCCATTAGTCTGCGGATTTGCGTCCTCCTTCAAAATTATTGACACGCTATCCCAACCTGTCTCGTCTCGATATTATACACAGGTCTGGGTAGAGCCCATAGAGCAAACTATGTATTAAGATGTCACGTTTAAAGATTTACTTTTTTTATAGAACAAATTTGGTCAATGTTGATATCTGCAACTTTTTACGTTATACCTAATTTTAATCATCTACGAGTATACCGATAGGGCAATGTATCCGACTTGATAGTAAACCTTGCAAGCTCTTACTCTCTACGATACTGGAGAGGAAGTATTGTAATCGTGAAACATTTATGAGAGATGTTTTTTGGATGTTAATTTCCGTCGGTCTGTCCGCTAATCCTTGGTCCGTCTATAATTAGGAAAAAACTGCTCAGATTTTGATAAGATTTTCACACAAGGCTATCACTATGCCAAAGATGAAAAAGCTTTATAGCTTTTGGAAATCGGTTCAGCGGTGACGAAGCTAAGGGAAAAAATGAATAAGTAAAAATCGCCCAAACTTCATTTTTTGACGATTCAGAGGCAACGGATGTTGAGAATAAGTTTTGTATAGGTTAAAAATTGTGGGTTGGGGGTTGTTGAGGGTGGAGAAGGGTATATACTAATTTTATCATATAAGTATATTTATACGCTTCCAACCTATTATACTTTAGACGTATATTTTCCTGTATATTTGCCCTTATACCAAACGAGTAGAATAATTTTGATAGCCGCATCGAAAAATTTGTATATCTACTGACGATTATTAGTTACAGATGTATCCAGCGTTGCCGACCCCATCCGACAGAAAAACTGTATATGGGCTTGAAAAAAACTGTAGATAACTGTAGAGTATTATTTAAAAAACTGTAAATCTACAGCCTCCATTTACAGTATTTTTCACGATTTTATCGCGGACCATAGTCAAAAAGTGACAGTTTTACATTGCTCAAGCAAATTCTTTTTGAACGGTTGTGGTTCTGGTTGGCCTTGAGTGACATAAAAAGGACAGAGCTTCCATTCAGTTTTTTATAAAATCACTCAAGGCCAACTAGAACCACAACCGCGCAAAAAGAATTTGTTTTTTGCATGCATGATCAGCTGTCATTTTTTTAAATTGTTCCGCGATAGATACTCGTGAAAAATAAGACAGGGTGTTTCAGTTTATTGTTGCATAACTTTAAGATTCGATAGAACTTTTAAAATTAATGCATAAAGTCTATATAAACATGGGTCGAAAAATGCGTGGCTTCCGAAATACAGGGTGTTTAAATTTGCTTTCTAAAATAGTTTTTTTTTAAATATTGCGAACAATATTTGATGTATAACAGTGAACATTGGTATACAAGAGTTTATTGGTACGACAAAACGAACCATGGGCATAGTTTTACTGTAGCCGCTAGAGGGCGCTCTCTACTGTATTAAAATGACCGAAAATTTTTTCTTAGTGCAGTTTTTGTTTTTTTGAATAAAAACACTGATTCTTCGCACTTTTCAACATAAAAAAGCTTTCCTGTGAATGTTCGTTATAGTTATCCGTTTTTGAGATATTTCGATTTTTAAGGTTAGATGCATTTTTAATTATTTATGGGAAAATAATATTTTTTTTCACATTTTCGATTTGGGCATTACAAGTAATTAAGATGATCGTTTAGATTGTGTTTTTAAACACAGCAATAATTCCTAACTCCAAATAAACACAAACAAACAGAATATTAATTTGTTTAATTTTCCAATATCATTTTTAACAAATTAAATTAATTATTTTAAATTCTATTGGATAGTTAGGACAAACATACAAAATCTAAAGTAGTTGCTCGAAATGTAAACCCAATTGTTCAATACACAATCCACATCTACGAATGATCGAACGTGGTATAGCACTATTCAAATAAGGCCTTATTTCATCACATGCATTCCTGATTATGTCTATTAGCATATCTCTTGTGGTTACCGGAGTCTGGTACACTTTTTCTTTTAGAAATCCACACACAAAGAAATCTAATGAATTTAGGTCAGGGGATCGTGGAGGCCAGGCGACTGGTCCTCCACGGCCGATCCATCTTTCTGGATAATTTTCGTCCAGCCAGTTTCTAACTATTCTCGAATAATGAGCTGGACAACCATCAAGCTGGAACCAGGCCAATCTTCTTAAATCTAACAAAACATCATCCCACATATTTGCATGTTCGGCCTTTAAAAATTCCAAGAAGGTCGCAGCATTTAACCTTGCAGGCAAAAGGTAGGGTCCAAATAGTCGATTACGGTAGATACCAATCCACACGTTCACACTAAATTCATGCTGAACATTTCTTGAACAAATATGTTGAAAATTTACCACTCCACGTCTAGTGAAGCATGACTCATCGGTCCATAAAACGTCACTTAAAAACTCCCTATTATTATCAGTTCTATCAAGAATCCACTGACAAAATGTGATTCTTCGTTCTCCGTCCCGTGGCTGTAGTCCTTGTAAAGGTTGCAAATGGTAAGGACGTCTATGGTCATTTCTAAGAACACGATGAACATGTCTTGCTGAAATTCCCAAGGCACCAGAAACTCTCCTAACACTTGTGGTCGGATCTCTATCAAACTCACGCAGAATCATACGGATAAATCTGCGCTGACGAACATTTATGTTTTGATCCCTTTGGAGATTTCCAAAACCATTTTCAATTATTTACAAATACTGAGCGAGTTGGATGTCGTCTGTTTGGAAATCTTCGTGCGTATTCTCTGGTTGCTTCTGTTGCGTTTCCATTTACAAAGCCATACACAAAATGAATATCCACTAACTCTTGATTGGAGAATAAAAATGGCATTTTTATAAAACTTACAAAAAAAAACAGGTAAAAGAAACTAAATTTCGTGCATTCACAATTGCAAAAAAACGTTTCAGGTTTCAACAGACAACAAAACTAACTGTCAGCTAATTCACGTTTAACCTTATTCTGCTTTCAATTTCTAAAATATTTGCAGGCACAGCTAAAAATTATCGAGATACTGACTTTTTAACGTAATTTTATCATAAATAATTAAAAATGCATCTAACCTTAAAAATCGAAATATCTCAAAAACGGCTAACTGTAACGAAAATTCACAAGAGAGCTTTTTTATGTTGAAAAGTGCGAAGAATCAGTTTTTTTATTCAAAAAGTAAAAAATTGCACTAAGAAAAAATTTTTGGTCATTTTAATACACTACAGGTACAGTAGAGAGCGCCCTCTAGCGGCGACAGTAAAACTATGCCCATGGTTCGGTTTTTCGTACCAAACAACCCTTGTATACCAATTTTCACTGTTATACATCAAATGTTGTTCGAAATATTTAAAAAAAACTATTTTAGAAAGTAAATTTAAACACCCTGTATTTCGGAAGCCACGCATTTTTCGACCCATGTTTATATAGACTTTATGCATTAATTTTAAAGGTTCTATCGAATCTTAAAGTTATGCAACAATAAACTGAAACACCCTGTATATTGCTTACGAATAGAAATCTGACTTGAATCAAGTTCTTTACGCAGCGGTTCTGATTTTGCTTGACCTTGAGTGACATAAAAATGACAAAATTTGAATTGAATTCTTATACATAATAATTATATTAGATATGATTTTGCTTTGAGTAGTTGATTACTGCTCCTCTACCTCATTGTCTATTTGCAAATCTATCAGATTACGTATAATTCGATCTGGCGAGTGGTAGATTTTACTACGACCGAGTTATTGTATGGACTACCGACTTCGTGGTAAACAAAACAGATGGCGCGAGCATCCTAAGCGAAAAACTGTAGATTTGAAGGCTCGAACTGAAAACTTGGAAGATTTTTGTAAAACTGTAAATCAGTTGTTAAAACTGTAGGGCTGGCAACACTGGTCGTATCGTTCATCGGGTTTACTCATCATCAACGTTGCCGTTGCTTGTCAAATGGCTGGAAACAGCACTCGAATTTGTATAGTCCTATGACTGACATGACTTATTTCATTCATTCATTGAGAACTGATGATAGCGTTGCGTGGAAAGATCAAAGTCAAAGTGATTGATGCAATTTCTTAGATTCGATACAAAATATGCAATACTGCCCATACTGCAAAATACGGCGTCTTTAAGCCATATACTTTCATAATACAACTTAATACCCCTCTGAAACCAACCAAGTTTACGTTCCAGTTTATGGAAGGTAATGAGATATTATAGGTTATTAACAAGTACACGTTGGTGTGGAATAACATCCCCGAGGCTTCGCATGTTCACGTTTTAGTTCTTGATACATCCTGTTTCAATACACTGTAAAGGTATGGCTGAAATTAGAGCGAGCGCCTTTATAGAGAAATTCTGGTCTGCCAGTTTGTATCCCATTTATTTTGAAGATATGTCAAAATACCTTCATCTAAGCAGAGCCTAATAATTGGCTCAAAAATTCAGATGAGCGACACCTCAAAGCGGCAGCACATCTAACCTTCATTTCTATTGCATTAAAGGTTTGTGATCGGCCAGTATGTAACCGTCCACGGTGACGTCATCAGCCACGTCAACATCAGTCACGTGATGGTAGAAGATGGTGGAGAATATACCTGCACAGCAGAGAATAGAGCTGGGAAGACATCACACTCCGCCAGATTAAACATATATGGTGAGCAAATTTTTTTTTATTTTATGCCTTTAAAATTGCATTTTTAGTAATGGGGGATACAAAATACTGAAATGGAAACAAGTTAGGAAGACCAACTTAAATTCTAATTGTTGATTTCTATATGCACTGGGTAAAGCGTTGTGACAAAGGAATGTCCGCCGCCAAAGCGTTAAAGCAGGGTGTTCAGCAATTTGAACCCCAACTAACAATTATCACTCCTATTAGAGTTGCAAGAATGATTATACAGTATTCCTTACACAGCATTGTATACTGTAAGAACATTGGCAAAACAATCTTAGAACAGCTATGCAAGCGGAATGGGTACACCTAATAGAACACTTCAGTCATTTAAGAGGTTGTATAGGAGCTGCAGGTAACAGTTATGCAACAAAAGTGTAAGCCTCTTGCAGCCGCTATAGGACATTTGCGTCAGTGCAAGATTCAGTTTTTGTCAACTATACAACTATTCTGTTACGTGATTATACTTTATTGCAACCAAACTATTTCTTATGTATTGTATAGACGAAGTGAAGAATATTATAACTAACACATTACAGTCATCTTGTTTACTTACATATCGGCCATTGTGACTTTCATACACAGGTATATGATAAACTTCTACACTATGATATAGGGCTATCCAATTTCGTGCGCAGCAAATTTTATTGTGATTATCGTGCAAAGTAGTTACGCAAATTCTACGGGCTTCGTATTTGATTCATATTTTGATAATGATCAAAAGTATGTCTAGATTTTTAAGATGGAAAGCTGAACTTATCTGTGTTAAATCTTCCACAAATATTTAGACACAATTACACTAATGTTTATCACTTTATATCCGTAATTTCGAACTGAAACATAACTATTTAATATCAAATAGAGGAATAAATGTTTGCCCAATATGGCGGGTGGTTGTGTATAATCATGGCATCGTCCATGGTGTCTTTAGGTTATTAGAATATTTTGGTGTTGCCTGCAGGTTTTATACAACAATTTGACAAATGTCTGAAATGAAATACCGACAGAGTCGAATGATTCGCCCAGAATTTCTACCAGATCTATATCTTCTGTTTGAACAGTTGATAAAACATTTGGACCAATATGCATTCGCTGTTGGTCTTAAAACATTGGTTATGGCATTTTAACTAAAATATGACAGCAGAAAGTTAGGTTATGGTGAAGTTGTATACCAACATATTTAGCAGTTACTAAACAACAGTTGTATAAGTGCTTCCGTTGGGAGCAATTTGTTGGCTAAAGTAGTAAATTTGCACAGCAAAGCAACAAGGCTCGGGTTTGTTTTATAAACGTTACCATGGATGCCACAACACAACCATTTTGACTAACCTGCAAATATGCCGTATAAAATAGTTGTATAAACGTTTATGCATCAGTTAAAAATTTGTCCTATAAGGTGTTGTGCAACTATGCTATAAGAATATTTTAAACACCTCATTTTAGAGCAAATATGTTGCAGAAAGCAAATTTGCATTCCACTCAACATTAAGCCAGCATTTTGGTGTTCAGGCAACAACAATAGAGAGCTTTTATGGCTGAACGGTTCTTTTACCAAAAGCTTATAGTACTACTTTGCTCATTGGGTCGTATGTCGATATTGAGAAAAAAGCTTCGTATGAAAGTTATAAGGTCTAATATAAAAAAATTTCCTGCTAGTCTTTTTTGTATACAAGATGTTCCAGAAAAGTGCTATCAAATAAAAGTTACTCAACACCTTTGACAGCCTCTATACCAGGAAGGCTGCATGAAAAAAATTTATTCTAAAGAGTGTTGCAGAATTTACGACCGACAAAGGGTGTCAGCGCTGGATATAACTTTGTAATAACATATCACAAAGTCTACAGCGTGTAACAAAAGTTTTTCAAAATTGGTAGGTTTAGGTCAGAGTTCCCCAAACTTTTTTGTGTCGTAGACCCCTTGCTATGTTTTTCCGTGCTGATATTGATTTCCTGTAAATTTTTAACTGTAGTGAAGTTTAGTGTTAAAAACTTAAAGTAAAAACACATGTTAATTTATACATTTATTAATTGAATTTAAATTAAAACTAGTCAAAATAAAATTTTGTATCTGTGATGTAAAATATGCGTAACATTAAATAAACAGGTGTCTGACCACTAAGTGCCCGCATTAAAAAAAATAAGAGGTATAGAATAAAAAAAAGTGAAAAATAATTAAAAAAAAGTTTTTTACTTAAAATAGTACAATCAGCGAGTTCGTTTATTAATTATAACATAAACGTATGTTCTACAATAATTTCACTGTTAGTTTATACGTTTAAGTTATCTAAAAATAGGCAAAAAATTAACGAATTTTAGTGTGTACCTATCCTTGAATTTTCAGAATGATTTAAAAAAAATATATTTTCTATAAAGCGGGGCTCTTTAAAAAAATCAATCGGGCACTTATTCCCAATGCGGCCATTTATTGGTCAGACACCAATAAACATAAAATAAACTATAAATAAAATAACATAAGCAATAAGTCAATATTTTTAGTGAGAAGACTGAACCTAATGCTTTAATAATAAATTATCAACATTTGGCGTCAATTTTGTAAGGGTTAATCTTAAATCTCCTCGGCTAATGATGTCCAGTCTGTTTGTTTTTTTCGTTAGGAGATTGGTAACAGCGCTGAACCCCTTTTCCACTAGGTATGACGATGGAAAGGAAATTAAAAATTTAAATTTCCTCGCTATATTCCATAATACGGGATAAGTAATGGGTATGTTGTTTTGCAGCCAGAATTGCTGATATCCGTTTTTAAACTGAACCTTGAGTTCTTTTTTGTACTAAGTTCAGTCAGTTCCTCTTGTATTATGACATTCATTTCTTCTAAGTCACCATATGGATTAATTATCCATCATAGTCAAAATATCCTCAAACCTAGATTCAAAATCTGAACAGAGGGCATTTAAATGTTGAACGTAAGTTGAAACGTCGGTCGTCTGCCTGGCAGCTTTTCTGTGACAAATTGGGGAACTTAGAAAATTCGCCCCGTCCAATATTTTGCTTCATTAGCTTAACTCTGGCAAAAAACGCTGATAAGATGGACTTTGTTTTAATCAAATTTAAACTGTCGCCTTGTAATTGCAAATTAACCATATTAAATTTTGTAAACAAATCTGTTAAATAGGCGATGTCTGTTTTCCTCTTCATTAAATTTTCGTTTAAAATTTTATCTTTAGTATCCGGAAATTCTAAAATAGTCTCAAAAAGTGGAAAAAATCTTGTCAAACATAAGCCTTTCGACAGCCAGCGTACTTCAGTGTGAATATTTTTATATTATTTTTTGATTTTTCCGAAAACATTCCATGATTCGAACATCTTGCAACAATTAGCTCGAATTACGGAGATTGCACTGTGATTATATTACCGATTGCTAAAACTTTCAAAAAGAAGCTATTGAGGAGTACTACTATTAATAACTAAAGTCATGATTGGCGTAATTTATCTATCTTTGCTAACTACGAGTACAAAACTAAAATTTAATAAAAAATAATGTACTTACTTTTCTCCAGCACTCTCAAACAAAATAACACTGACTCGCTATAATTTGTGTGATATACTATCTGTTTATATTTTTTAAAATATTTTCTTAGCACTTTCCTTTTCAAGATTCAGGAAACGAATAAACGTATTTGTCCCACATTCGTATTTATAGAGTGACGAATTGAACAAGTCAGTGCAAGGTAGCGAAGCTCTGAGACTGCGACTCTCAGATTTTTACAAGTTCAAAATGTATTGCGACCACAAAGCGAATACTGCTGACGTAGACCCCTTGCAGGTTGTCATAGACCCCTAGGGGTCGATATAGACCACTTTGGGAATCAATGGTTTAGGTTCTAAACCACGGCGGATCCGCAATGTTGCCACATCTACAGTTTCTCGGAAAGAAGCTTGCGATATTTTTAATGACAAATATCCCAACCGGAATGAAATAACAAGGTCTACTGTTGGAAAAGTTTTGAGGAAATCTAAAATAACAGGACATGTAAAGGATGCTCCACGATCTGGCCGTCCCAAAGCAGCCACTGACGAAAATAAGGCTTTGAATATTTTAGTGAGCATAACGGAAAACCCCCACCTTTCCACTAGGACACTTGGTGAAGATAACAATACATCTCGGATGTCTGTGGAATTTATTTTAAAGACAGAAAAATTCCTCACAGAGTATCTTGGTACAAAAGATGTGTAATAGAAATGAACATTTTTTGTGCGAAATGTTTTCGGATGTGTCAAGTTTTTCTTTGAACGTAACTCTTAACCGCCATAACTGCCGCTACTCGACCAGAGAAAATGCTCATTGGATATGGAAACGTCATACACAATATCCACAAAAAAATAATGTTTGGGCCGGTATCATAGGTCAAAAGATGATCGGTCCGTTTTTCATTGAACTTGAAACTTGAACGCTGAAAGATATTTGTTTCTTTTAACAAAATGGTGCACCTCGGCATTACGCCCGAAGTGTTCTCGAATTTTTTGATCAAACATTTTTTGGAAGATGAATAGGTAGAATTGATCGAATGGCCACCTCGGTCTCCTGAGCTCACAACCCTTGATTACTTTTATGAGGGCACTTAAAAAATGTAGTATAGAAAACCAAACCATTTGATTTGGAGGAACTAAAACAACGAATAGAAACTGAATGCCGAAAAATCGAGGAAAGGGGATGTCTTCAAAATGTTCTAAACACATTTCGGCAATATCTAGCATATATAGCGAATATGGACAGCAATTTAAATATTCAATATGTTTTTTTTTTGTTTTGAAGCTTGAATTATCAAGTCTACTAACAAAACTCAATGGACTCTTCAAAGTCAGAAATGACAGGAAATTATTTTCCATACTGGTCATTACTCAGATGAAAACATACCTTTTATTGTTAATTCGAAAACTATGAGGTTTACGTCAAATTATGTTTGATAAAAGGTATTCAGAATTTCTTGCAGAATACAAATATTGAATAAAATGGATAGCATT